GAAAAACACTGTTTGCAACTAAAAAACTGTGATCAGGATGAGCAGGACATATATTCTTACCAATTAGAAGAACTGTTCCAACAGCCAAGCCTCCACCTAGAAATGAAACAAAACAAGGAGAGAATTAATCTACCTTTTCACATTATCTTTAGCATAAAAGTTAGACTTTATCAAGGGCAGGAATTGTAATAACTTCAAAACTGTAGTTGAGAACAACATTTTTTAATTACCTTTGCAATGCTTTGTTCAAGGTGCTATTATGAAATAATTATATATTATATGTAATTACACACCACACCTTACAATTACTTTCATGATATACTGTACTATCTCTTTTCTCCTGTGATAGGTTCATGCCATGTTCAATATAACCATGGTTAAGATTCAACAATGTTATATTTAGCATTTGTTAATAAATTAACTCAATAGCCAAGACCTAAATGTGCACAGTAACTTAACTACTACAGAAGTACAACAGAAAAAAGAAAGGTTATTACGATAGAAATTCTACTTTAATATTTATCCACAAATTTAATAAGCCTTGAAAAACAGACCTGATAATTAAAATGAATTCTCTCTTTATTACAAACAATATACACAAAGTCTTAACACTCTAAATATTCATGTTTAAACATATTTTAAGTTAACAAAATTATAATTTAACAAAAAATGACATTTTTAATTCCCTTTTTTCATGTTATAATTATATATATGACTTAATATGGCCATGAATATATAACTCAAATAATGAATCATTAATTATGCTTCACTTTAAAATCATGTATTAATTACTGAGACTCACACTAACATAAAGAACAACTAACTAAATGAACTTGTTCATAATCTCATTTATAAAAGCATTTTTACTTATATTCATAGTTAACAAATCCACTAAAAAAAAAGTCAATGACCAAAAATTCACTTACATTATAACTAATTTAAAAGTAACATTGCTAAACAAGTACTGAACATTGTTGTACAACTGAAAACAATGTTATTAGAATGCTCCCTCCACCCCTAGACAGGAACAAAATGAAACATTTAGAACATTTAGAAAACCCATAGATCTTTTTACCAAAGTTTTGTAGAAACAGATGTTATATAGGAAAATATATTACAAAAATCTTCTTTTAATCATAGTTATTGCTGCTTTCTTAAGAGAATATCTAATTCCAATTTGTTACAGGGCAATATGAACAACTTGGTCAAGCATAGGGTACCAATCAACATTTGGCTTTTTGTTGATTAATAATAATACATGAAGTCATTTTTTATGACAATAAATAGAATCTTCCAAAAGCCTATAAAAGAAATAAAAAAGGAAAACACTTATATAGTTTTATGTTCAAATGGATTTGTTATAGACAAAATTATTTATCTTTTAGACAAGTTCTTTCATTATTGCATTTAATGCCATACCAGTTGTTATCATATTGTTGTTGTTGAATACCACAGAATTAGAATCGACTCATAGCTGACCCTCCAGTGAGTTTTCAGAGGCAGTAAATCACATAGGAGTAGATGGCTCATCTTTCTCCCACAGAACAGCCAGTGGATTTGAACCACATACTTCTGCATTTGTGGCACAATTCTTCACCACTAGGTCATCAGAGCTCCTTTAGTTATCACACAATGCTGATGTATATGATGATGATAATTATCAAATATCAGGGAACTGTACATTTAGGGACAAGATTAAACTGAACATATAATTTCATATTTTTTGCCACATGTAATAGGCTACTAACATTTCAGTTTGAGTATTTTAAACTACATCTTACCAACTCCTTATTTTTCCATTTTTTCCTCCATGAAAAGATTATCCTCTTAACTATCTATTTTAATTTTGTATATATTCAATGAGAAGCCATAATAGAGGCATCTAATATACACTTTGCAGTGCTGATACTATTTTAAAAGTTTCTTTAGACATTTTCCCATAGCAAGCATTTAGGTTTCATTCATTCATATCTCTCTGTATCTTTATCTATTGGTATCTCTATATACATCTAGGAATTTATGTAAGGTCTCCACTGGAAAGGTTAAGAGAATAAAGAAATTTTTAATGATTGTTTAACGAAAACATAAAATAATTAGTTCCCCAGGTAAAGGTGGAGCTGTTTACTACACAAGTGTCTGACCCAGAGCTACCATTCTCATTATAGAAAATAATTTAAAAATATCACTATTTGATAAATGGTGATCATCAGAATGAATGATTACTTTCCACTGATATAATAGTTAAGCAAATAGTTAATCAAACTAAGACTAAGCTATTAAGGTAGTTAGAATAGAAATAATTAGCTGTTTATGAAAACCCAGTAATCACGTTTATTTTTTGACATTTCATGGGTTAAAACTTATGTTTGAGGTATGTGTATATTCTCTATGAAAAATAAAACAAAGAAGTACTACATTAATTTTATCAGCTACATTTTATCAGGACATCTCCTCCTATTGGGCTAAGTTTTCTTAGGAAAAGTCATGAGACTCAAATTAGTAAACTCTGGGCAAGGGAATAGAAAGAATCTGCATTGCTAACAAAAAAATACCACTACTTTTTGATGCAACTGTAAGACAGAATAGAAGTGCCCGAAGGCTTTGGCTGAGTGTAAATCTTTATAATAGCAGTCTACTTCATCCTTCTCTCAGGGAGAACACTCCATTGTTTAATCTACTGTGCCACCAATCTTTCATTGCCATTGAGCTGGTTCTGACTCACAGGTGACTCTCCACTGGGTTTCCAAAGCTGTATTTTGAATGGAAGGAGACTGCTCATCTTTCTTACAGAGTGGCTGGTAGATTCTAACCGTGAGAGAAGTGTGGTCTTTTAACAGTGCGACTCTGAGCTTCCTTTCTACCACCAGGGCTTTTATACAATTGTTATTTTAAACCAAAGTCTTATTTCATTTATAGTGGGCACTATTTGGCATGGACATATAACATAAATCAACAAAATTTCTCTATTTTTTGCAAACTGTATTTTGGTATGATTGTTGGGGGCCTTTGAGTTGGAAATGATCCATAACTGACTCTCCCATGGGTTTTCAGTGACAATTAATTGCATTAGAGGAGACTGACCATCTTTCTCCCATGGAACAGCTGCTGGATTTGAACCATGTGCCTTTGGGATTGCAGCACAGCTATGCCACCCGAGTTCTTTTTTAGTATGATAAGACCTGGTATTTCCCCTTATTGTTTTTCTGTTATTTTGATGTACTCCACTTCCTCTAACAATGTTCTAGCTGTATTTTAAACTAGATTACTTTGTAACCATGCTCTTCCAACAAAAAAAGCCAAAACCAACCACAACAAAGTAATATTTCACATGATAAGTTCAGTAATAGCTAGCTCCTAATTAATTTTCAAGGTCAGTAATCCATTAAACATCAAAAGCAATAAAGATCTATACTATTGGTTCCTAATTAAAATACAAGTATCTTTTCCTAACGATTCCCTTATTCCACTTATAGGTAATGGAATGAGGAAGCAATTAACTTATTTCTATGATAAAAACAAATAAAAAATAAGTAAAATTGCCTTATTTACCAATCTTCATTAATTTTAACTTAGGAAGGTCATAAAAATGATTTTAGGTTACTAATAAAAGATCTGTTTCTAATTGTATAAATCCTTATTGGAAAACAAGGTTTTCCTAGACTTCTAGAATAATTCTATTTATATCCAGTTTACTTTTACCACAAAGCTAGCACTTCATGTACAAATACAACTCAAATATTTTTAATTTGAAAGGTAAAAGCTATTTTGTATGCAGGGAGTTTTAAAGCATTAGGTTAATCAAGATTTTACATTAACTAGGAAAAAAATTTAATGCAGTAAGAAAACAGTATCAGAACATTTAGGATAGGGGAGCTCTGGTGGTCTAGTGGCAAGAAGCTGCAACTACAATCCCAGAGGTGCACGGTTCGAATCCACCAGATGCTCTGCCGGGTAAGGAGGGGCAATCTCCTCCTGTACCAGTCAGATCTGATTTGACGGTACACGCACACAAAAAAATAATAAAATAAAAAAAAAAATTAAAAAAAAAAAGAACATTTAGGATCTTTCAAGTGCCAAGACCTTCCTGAATTGTTGTTGTTATGTGCTGTAGAGTGCCTTATAAAAGTTTTTCAATTCAGGTAGGAACTGTTAAACAATATTAGTACTATTTTAAAGGGAGAATATTGAATTATCCAGTATTCTTTTTTTTTGGTGATTTTAACAGGTTTTTATGAAACACATTTTGTCCCTCGATAGATTAAATTAATCCACAGCATAAACCATAAACTTATATTCTTAAAAACGCCATCCAGTTAAGTTTTAAATTTGGTGACATAAAGTCTAATTAACTACACTAGGCTACGAAGATCGGAAAATATCTATCAAGAAGTCTTTCAAGGTCAGAGAAAGTAAACTGGGGGAAAAAGTTCAAAAAAAGATAAAATGTAATGTTTATCCATTCCTTCCTGTATTCTGAAAAAGGAATAAATTTTGTATAATTACAGAAATTTATTTTGGGAGAAATACTACATAAAAACCAAGACCATACTATTTGGCTTATAGTAATAATTATAACTATCTAATCAAAGTCAGCCATCAAACAAAACTGCAGTTATTTAATTAAAAAGTCTACAGTTCCCTTCCTGTAACAAATACAAAACATTCCAAATACTCTTGATTATTACAAAACTATCAGTTGGGCAATGACAAGACTCAAGAAAGTCATGAGTAGTGATAATGGTTATGTAGATTAAACCAGGCAGTTTTGTATAATACAAAGAAATAAGCAAGTCTTCCCTAAAATGTACAGTTACCTGTATCATTGCTAAATCAAGAGATGCTATACAATAAGCTCAGTGCATATTAACTCATATTATAGTTATAGCAAAGCAAGAAAACAGTTACCATTATTTTTCACCATTAACAAGGAAAAGCGACAACTACAAGCTTTTTCCTTTGAACTATTTCCCTCCATTGTTCCCTATTTGTCATTTATTTGACTGTCAACATATTTTTGCCCAAAGAGCTAGTGGTAAGAAACTGCTGTAACCCTAAAGGCACACAGTTCGAATCCACCAGTTTCTATGGAAGAAACATGGGCAATCTCCTCCCATTTGATTTACCTCCTCTGAAGACCCACTGGAGGCTCAGCTATGGGTTGGTTCTGACTCTATACTATACAGCAACAACAACAAAGAGCACATAGGTTAAACCATTCAATCCTGAGAAGTCATCTTTTCCCACAAATAAATTGTTGAAGGATGTGGCTAGGGGTTATATATACAGTTCTAGCAATTAGAAATATACTTTATGTCCTAGAAAAAAAGAAATTCTGCCAGTCTCCCCTGTCAAGTCAGAACTGAGTCAGAGCTGACTCTCCAGTAGGTTTCTGGAGGCTGTAGATTAACTGGGAGGAGACTGACCATCTTTATGTTGGTGAAGTTGAACCACTGGAGAGGTACTGACTTTGTATTGTGTCTTCAAATAATAAAATTTCCTGGAAGGCAGGAATGAAAATTGGGGCTGGGAAATTTGAACTAGAAAAATTCTAATCACTTAATTTAGGAAATTTATATAAAAATCTAGCAATGGTGTTGTCAGAACATATGTCATCAAACTGCTAACATTCAATTAATCTGCATGGGTTGCATTTACGCTTAAAATTGCAATGACATTACGGTAGTAGTAGAAAAATGACACTGTACTGCACTGCACACTATATTGTTGTTACACGGTAACCACAGAATATGTTTAAGCATCACAATGTCTGAGTATAATTTCACCATCCTAACATCATAACATCCTATTATCATTACATTTTGTCACAATTTGGTCATATTAAGCTTGTCACAATTTGAGACAAATAACATTTTTAGTAACAATACAGTATGGATGGCTTATATATTTAATACATTAATAATCAACTGTTTCACTTTGAAATGTTTTAATGAAAAATAATGTAAAGTATTTAATTCACAGGGCCATACAGAATGGAAAATGAAAATACAAAAATGTTATTAACAATAATTGAAACAATTCTGATCATATTAACTGCTTTAAATGGAAACTTCAACTTCTGTGCACTTTAAGAATTGCATACAGTGAAAATACATAAAAAAATTCAATTGTCATTTATTTCAATCATCTTAATGAACATTAATTTTTAGTGTGTTTATTACATTCATCACACATGAAGATGTGATACTAAATACTAAAAGTTCTTCTCTCCCCACCCCAGGCAAATTCAGAACTTAATATTACAGCTCAAGTTTTTGTCTGTGTATAAACACAAGGAAGGTGTTTTGGATCCTCTTTTTGCTGAGTTCTTTAACAGACACACTAGAGTAAAATCCTGGAGCCTCTGTGTTAGAATAGATAAAGTAGTCTGCCATTAACAGAAATAGTGATTTGACTCATCCAATCACTCTGTAGGAGAGAGATGTGGTAGTCTACTTCTGAAAAGATTTAAAATCTTAGTTTTGATTATACACCCATCTCTCATTTAGGTTATTATGTAAAAATCTATATTTAGACAAAAATGTAGGGTGAACACATCACATCACAAAATGCCAAATTACATTATTTATATAAGTACCACATTTCATCATTACTTAACTGACAAACCACTGAGAATCACAGCCCAGCCAAGTTGGCAGATAACCTAACAATCACACTATTCTTGCCTCACACCTCAGATTTTATTACCAAAAGAACTTGAGATATTTGTAGCAAGAATGGAGAGCACTAGATCTGAGGCAAAAGATCATTTCAGATTGATACCAGCTTTGTGATTCTGTTCCTATTACATAATCTCAGTCTGTTTCTGACCTTTAAATATAAAGCTCTATTTTACATATTTCATAAACTTATTTCTATTTTTTCTACACATTTTTCTTTCAGTCAAGAATGTATTGAAAAAATCTATGAAATGTATTAGACATATTTTATTATTTTAGTGAGGAACTGAAGTTATGTCCGAAATGTGATCTGATCTTTTTTGCTTGGAGAGATGTAGGATTAAGTAAATGAAGTCACATAGCCACAATGGATTTTTCTTAAAAAAAAAAATAATCCAGGAACAGCTTCTAAACGAAGACTGACAAAAGAAAAATGTTTTAAAAAAATTGCTAATTAGTTAGTATGGATTATTACTGTTTATAATACCAAGCGATTGAAGGACAACGGATTTGGAATAATTAGATGAAAATATTAACATTTAGGTAGTAAAGAACCCCTAGGGTTCTTTAGGGAAAGAAAGGATTGCTTGTCTTGTCACTTTGCTGTGTGCTAAACCCATTTGAAAAGTATTTGTTGGGGAGAAAATGAGAGAGAAACTGACAAGTGAAGCAAAAAACCAAGCAATTGCGTTTGTAACATTTTATAAAAATATAACAAGATTTAACAAGCAAATATTGATACAGTTTTTAAAAGGCTATACAATACAGACAGTCTTATGCCGCATTACAGATAGAAATAAACTAATGAATAAACTTTATTAACATAGCAGCTCCGTACTAGCCAATCTAATCTAGTCAATCCTTTCAACAAAACAATTCTGAATCAAGAATATTCTCCAGCAGGCTCTTCATGCAAACTTCCAGAGGTTATTAAACCCAAGAATGGGACTTCTTTTCCTCGTTAAAATATGAATGAAGTCTAAATACGTTTAGAGTTAGGCAACAATCAACTCCAGGAGGCAAGATGGATATTGGGAAAAAAATACATACATATATTTTACCCTGATACAGGTTTGCCGCCCTAACATCGACGACAGGTTTTAACTATTTTGGGACAACATAAACCATTGACATATATTCTACTAAAATCAATATACTTTAAGATTTAGAACTTAGAGATAAGCAGCTCAGCGTTGACAAAAGAGAAGTTATTTTTCTCCAGCATTTCTATGAAAGACTGTCCCTTAGAATGTTAAAAAGTTTATTAGGTTAGTGCAAGCCGTGAACTACCCGAATATGGCAAAAGAGGGTGTGGGATGGGGGGACTCTTGATGGAGATCAAACGTCTCCAGACACTGATTCTTCCTCTGACTAGGAAATATTTCAGGGTAAAGGCATGTAAGGATCTAGCTGTCAACTGGAAAGGGAACAACGAGCAGAGAATGAGAGTAGAGAGGGTCAGGGAACCAACGGAGATTTGAAGTCTCCATGCAACCCTTCCTCCCCTCCATCAATATGAAACCCTGCTAGCCCCTTCTTGTCCGAAGTCTCGGGGGAAAACGAGGTGCAGGGTCAGAGTGGCGATCTCCCAGCGGTTCCCTCCCTGAGGTTACCCTCTGTTGAACCCGCCTCTCCGTTCTGAACCGACCTAAGAGCTGGTCCAGGGCTGGAAGCCCGGTTGACACCAGCAGCTGCCCATTCCGCACGGACGGTCTTGTGCCCGGGATGGACACCAGACGAGAGCCACCTCTGTCGATACCGCCGGCTCTAGGACCCTTCCTCTGGAAACTGGTGACGTTGTTCGTGTTGGTTGCTGCCGCCATAGACCCGGGACACCTGGAGCCGGTGCCGCAAGTTTCCACGGCCGCCATCTTGTACTTCCCAGAGTACAGCCAATAGAATCTCTGGGAACTCAGTTGCTGGCCTGTCAGAATCGGCCCCGAACTCCCGCCTCCTGGCCTGTACCCTGGCTCTAATAGCCAATAGAAGTGAGACGTGCCTACCTGCGGAGCCAATGGTAGGGCGCGTTGCTGAAAAGTGCGCTGAGCTTAAGGACTGGAGGACTTCTGCGGGACTCAGGTGAGAAAGGCCCACTCGAGTCGTGGGTGAGGGTTGAACGAGTTATTTGAGGCCATAGGTGGGTAATGCCATGCTTGAGTGGCTTAATTTTTGATGAATTACAGAAGACGATCGGGAAAACCTCAACCCGTTCAGAGCTGATTTAACAATTGTTAGTAGGTGCTGACACTTTCCCTGTAAAGAAAAGGAAAGGTACTTTCTCCCACTGCCCCTTTCTCATCTAACTTTTGGGGAATGTTCACCCCGCTTTCCCCAGGCAGTCTTTTTCTTTGTGGGAGTGCTGTATCGAAGCAGTTGGAATTGTGAATGAGCTGCTGGCTGGGAATCTGGGCTCAGTTTGTCAGTGCTGGTGTTGGCGGATTTAGACCCTGGAGTGAAAAATGCTAAGCTTTGAGATAACTTGGTTTTCCCCTATTTGAAACAGCGCTTGAAAAAAAGTATCTCTCTGAGAAGTCCCTGTGATAAGGTTTCGTTAATTTTAATTAGGATTGCTGGAAGTCTTTGAGCACCTTTCCGTAAGCGGTGTGAATGACAAGTGTTACTCTGACAACCTTGTTCACACATTTAATTGTCGTTTGCTGTTAAAGCATCTGCAAATAATAGAAAAAACTTTGGGTTTCCACGCCCCCCCCAAAAAGGATTAGATATGTTTGTACTTCCTGTTTCTAGTTATTTGTGAACTCTAAATTGAGATCATTCTAACTGGAATAGTAATTTTTTATACAGGAAAACCTCCCATGTAATTTAGAGCTCTGCGTTTGAATTTGAAAACTTTTTCAAACCTGAACTGGGCGGGAGGTGGGGTGAGCTGTAGTTTATTCATTGTCGAGAAATGTCTACGTTTCCAGATCATGACTACATTAACATTGGTTCTTTTTGTTTCTTTTTTGATTTTTTTCTTTACTAGAGGGGGGGAAAAACCCAGCTTTGTTATTTTACAGTATTATCAATGGCAACACTTCACGATTTAAAATGCTTTCATGACTTAACTTCTCCAACATAAATCTTTAGTCTAAATCATCCATTAATTAGCTGTTGAGTTCTGTCAGTTTAGATGTAATCTTGCTAAGTTTAGCAGCTCAGCTCATTGCCGTGTATTTGCAGCCTATTCCTAACTGACCCCTGGCAAGTCTCCTGAGGCTGTTCATCCCGTGGGAGGAGATTGCCCATCCTCCCTAGATGCTGCTGGTGCATTTGTGTGTTTTTTTTTTCCTATAATTATATTTTATTAATTTTCATAAACATTTACAGAGATTTTGGGCTTCCACTCATTCATTGTTGCACTATTCTCTCTACCCTCCTCCCAGTTTGTTCTTGTCCAAATGCCACAGTGCTTGTCAAAGCCAGTTCTGATTACTCTTCTTTGTCAGTGTATCCTTTGCCATTCCCTATCACTCCTCCCTGAGAGAGACTTCACCCTGAGTCATAAGGAAAAGGGGATGGCGTATTCTCTTAGCTACTTCCTGCTGAAAAGGGACGCTGTGGGTTTCAGGGTGAAGATCTTCTCTCACTACTCTAAAGGGCCCCTTTGGCAGTAGGAAACACATAGACTATTATGGAGATTGATTTTGGAATTCAGATGCACTCTTATTGATTGTGCTTGGCTGTACATGTTCATATCCTTGAAGATGTATCATGGGGGTGTTGCAACCTAGAAGACACAAATTTGACTAACAAGTTATAAGTACATGAGTCCAAAAATTATGGAAAAGTAAAAGAAAAGATTCTTTCATTGTTTTACAAACCCTCCCCCAGGTCCCCTCCACCATGTAGCCCTCGCTCTAGTCTCCTGTGATGACAGAAATACCTAGTTCTATATCTCTTTTAAACAGTTTTCTCCCTCCTCTGTTTCAGTGCAGTATACATTATTGAACCCATCTTACTCAGTCTCTCCCCAACCCCAAGGACAGTCCCATTCTACAACAGTGGCATCATGTAATATTTGTCCTTTTGTGACTGGGATATTTCACTCAGCATAATGTTCTCCAGAGTCAACCATTTTGAATAATATTGCATGAGTTCCTTGTGGTACTGCCTCTGGCTTAATAGCACAGCTCTTTATGGATTAGGCTGACAGAGTTCTCTTTCTATTTCAGGCATATTTTAGAAATAAAAATATGTTTCATTTAAGATAATAAGACTAACAGTGGGAAACAGTGTGTTGTTGTGTTCCATAGATTCAGAACAGACCCATAGCTGATCCTCTGGCTGCTTTTCGCAGGCAGTTAATCGTAAAGGAGGAGATGGCCTATTCTTCTCCTCCAGAGAAGTGGTTGGCCTTGAAACAGGTGTCTTGGATTGCAATGCAGCATCTTGCCACTCAGCCACCAGAGTGCCCAAGAAAGCAGTATAGTTCTTGAAATGAACACCTAACAGCTTGACAATTTTGCCCTCTGGTACGAGGAGGTGAAATCAGAGTGTTTCTCGTAAACAAAGATGGTGAAACTTTGTCTCTCATACTCTGGATATGTTAGAAGGGTCCAGTCCTTGGAGAACAACATTATACTTGGAAAGATGGGATGTTCAATGTAAGAAGAGGCTCTCAACAAGATGGTTTGATACAGTGACTGTAGCAATGTGCTGAAGTATGTACAAGATGGTGAGGATGGCATAGGTTTCAGATCTCATTTCCGTAGGATCGCTGTAAGTTGTACTCAACAGCACATAATAGTAAAAACAAGATAACAGTAAAAAGTGCCAAAGCTGTCCAAGTACAAATAGAAGCTTCTTGATTATTTTTGCTTTTGTGACAACTTTGAAGTACTAATTTTATTTTGTATTGTTGTTGTTCGTTCTCTTAGCAGTCCGTGGTATATTCAGTACTCTTCTCCAAAACCACAGCTCAAAGGCATCAATTCTCCTATCATCTTATGAGAACAAACAGGTTCATACGGGAGAGGGTTAAACCTGACTGCTCCTTGGAACCAAGGATATTGAAGCTTTGTCTGACATATTTTGGACATGTTGCAAGAAGGGACCAGTCCTTGGAGAGGGACATCATGCTTGAGAGGATGGAGGGACAGCGCAGGAGAGGAAGACCTTCGATATAGATGGATTGATTCAGTGAGTTGGGTAATGGGGTAGGTGTGTCAGAGACAATAGGATTGGCACAGAATAGAGCAGGGTTTAGGGCTTTTGTACATAGGGTCGCTGTGAGTCGCAGGTGACTCAACAGCACATAACAACAGCAACAATTGTCCTTGTTTTGTGCCATCGAGTGGGAACTGACTCATAGCTGACCCTCCATTGGAAGGTGGCTTAGTGCTAAGGAGTTGCCCTGGCAACTCAAGGGCCTGAGGTTCAAATCTATCAGCCATGCTGCCAGAGAAAGATGGGCAGTCTCTTCCTGTGTGATTAACTGCCTCTGAAAACCTGCTAGAAGTCTAGCTATGGGTCGATTCCAATTTGATGGTATACATCAGCAGGAAGTAAAAAATGATGGTATACAACAGCAGGAAATAAAAAATGCCTTGGGGTTGTCATTGTAGCTCCTTACCACTAAGCAACCAGAGTTCTTTCATTTTATAGGCTTCTTTAATATATAGTTTCTTGTTTCTATTCTATTTTGGTCACACTTTTAACTTTCTCACTATAATAGGATGCATATAACATTATAGGAACTGAGGAATTATTTTCTGACTTTGACTATAATTTGCGAAACATGATACATGAGCATATTGAGTCATTTTTGAAATTAGGTTATTTCCCTTCTCTAGTGCTCTCATTTTTGTGTACCATTGAGTCAGAACCGACTCATACAGCTGACCCTCCAGCAGGTTTTGAGAGACAGTAAATCCCATGGGTGGAGATTGCCCATTTTTCCTATAGGTGGCAGCTGGTGGATTTGATCCAAATGCCTTTTGAACAGCAGCCCCACTCCTTACCACTAGGCCACCAGAGCTTCCTAGTGCTGTCACAGAATACATTAATATGCAAATATTTTTGTTTGTCTTTTTAACTCCACAAAAACTTTCCTCTTTCCTAGTGTACAGTAAAATTAAAAATAAAGCATTGTAATACTTAAAATATTTATGTTGTTGTTGTTATGTACCTTCAAGTCGCTTGCCACTCATAGTGACCCTATGTACAACAGCCCTAAACTGTGCTCTGTCCTGTGCCAATCGCACTGTCTCTGACACTCCCATCGCGATTACCCAGTCACTTAATCAATCCACCTCATAGGGGCCTTCCCCTCTTGCGCTGTCCCTCCACCCTCCCAAGCATGATGTCCTTCTCCAAGGACCGGTCTCTCCTTACAGCATGTCCAAAGAAGAGTTAAAATTGTATGTGCTTAGGTATGTCATGAATTCAACTGTTATCTGTTAAGCACATAATGAATCTTAGGAAGCAAGCAGTTTGCAGTGCTTTAACCTGAAAATTTAAAATCAGGAAAGGTATGTATCAGGGTTATATCCTTTCTCCATATTTATTAATCTGTCTGCGCAGAAGAATCATTTGAGAAGCTGGACTATATGAATAAGAATGTGGCATCAGGATTGGAGGAATACTTATCAATAACCTATGTTATGCAGATGACATAACCTTGCTTGCTAAAAGTAGAGCAGACTTAAAGCATTTACTGCAGAAGATCAAAGACTATAGCCTTTAATCTGGATTATACATCTCAACATCAAGAAAACAAAAATCCTTGCCCCTGGATCAACAGCCAGCGTAATGAGAGATGGAGAAAAGATGGAGCTGTCAACAGTTTGATTTTTCTTGGATCCACAGTCAACACCACCTGCACTTGGCAGACAAGAGAAATCAGAAGACCTGTTACATTGGGAAAATC